GAAGTGACCAACTTTTAGAACTTTGATGCCAGTATCTCTGGTCACATTCAGTCAATATATTCCCAGTTAGAGTGTGTGTTGTATGCTGGTCACTTGGCTAGGTCTTGAAGACATGAAGTGATCCTGGTCTTTTGGGGGTGAGGAAGGAGGTCAGAACTCAATTCTGGTTTAGAAAGACATAGCTCTATGAAAAGGGCAGCATCGGGCTGAAGACTCTCAGCACAGGCATCCAGCTATGGTGCGAGGGAGTGAGGCAGCGGTGCAGAACACGTGTGGGAGGAAGTAGAGTCAGCACACAAAGTGAAGAATGGAGGCTGGTAGTCTATGAAGGCAGCACTGTGCAAGGCCAAAGACGACAGAAAGCTGGCACACTCAGGAAAACTGCTGAAATCAGAATGTATTGAGGGTAGGACTGGAGGCACAGGTAGGAAAGGAGGTAGGGAAGACAACAGGGGTTTAAATGCAAACCATGACTTAGGGTTTTATTTTGAGGGCACAGGGAAGCCTTTGAGAGGTCAGATGCAAGGACGACAGGGTGAGACAAGTGTTTGGCAGTGGTGTGGAGAAGGGTGTAGAAGAGAAGGGACTGGAGAAACGGGGACCAGCTAGGATATCACTTTATAATCCTAATGAGATGACCAAACTCTGAAGGGAAGACATTGTGGTAGAACAAAGGATTAATAAGTGGATTTGAGGGTCCCATATGCATTTAATACTGCTTAAGTCCTGGCTTCTGACACATTTCCATGTGAGAGTAGAGCTTGGAACTTTTAGAGTGAATCATATGTAGAGCCAAACTGTCTAGCAGGAGCACGGCCTTTCTTTTTCTAGCACCCAGCACTTGACTCCCCGGGTCTTGAGACTGTGGTTGTGCTTCCCTTGAAGGCAGCCCTGCTCTGCTGCAGATGGGCAGGGGCTGGGAGTCCAAGGCAGGAGCTCTGCCCTGCCTCTTAATGCACTCTGCTGCACGAGGAAAGTTTAGAACATCTACGCGCAGAGCTGCTGTGAGGTGAGGTTTGTACTGCACCTTCCCAGGGCTCTAGAATACAGGTGCTCCTCACTTCTTTTTATTCTGCCTTCTGTGTCTTTCCAATACACTGCCACGCCTCATGGCCACCATGCACTGCTAGTATAATCTTCTGGCTCCGCAGGGCAGAGAGTAACTGCTCCAAATGTTTTATGTGAACGCACCAACAACTCCTAAGATCTTATGAACAAGTTACTGTTAGCATGTCCCTTTCTAGAGCTCCAGAGCTGTGGCCCAGGAAGGTGAGGTGGCCTCTCCAAGGCACAGTGCTAACTGCTAAGTGTAGTTGTTGCTCTGCACCTGGGCTCTTGGGCATGGAATACTACTTGGCAAAAATCAAGAACCATAACCAACAAATGGTGAACAAGGTTTCTTCTGATGGTAATTCTTGTCAGATAAACTTAATAGGAGCTGGGTGTTGCGGAGCACACCTGTATCTCAGCACAGAGGCAGAGGCAGGCAGATCTGTGAGCCCCTGGAGAGCCAGCCAGAGTTAAATAGTGAGTGAAACCCTTTCTCAACACCCCCCACCCCACCAGTAGAGGGGAGCAGTATAAGTGGTAAGGATTCTTATTGTCTCTTAAAGCTGATTATTTGAGAAAAGCTGGAGACACTGAATGCAGAAGGATGTTCAAGACAAGAGAAAGAACTGGTTCCGTCTTTGGGAGCTTCTCTTAGATACACAATGTGGCTTGATAACAGAGAGCAACACAGCTTTAACCCCCCAGTTAGTCTGACACTGTCTGCTTGACACAGACGACAGCTGTTGGACTTCGTCAGGCAGCAGATCCCAGTAAGAATATGATGGATGCAGATTCCCTTTACGGAAGAACGCACACTTAACTTTTCACATAAAAAAGGATTGCTATTCCTGGGGTGAATTTAGACAATCTATAGAACAACGAAAAGCAAGAGGCCAGGACTTGAGTCTTGATGCTTTTACTCAGATGCTGGGGACATTAGGCAAGTCCTAACCTTTTGAGCATCTTGTCTTTTATCTTTGGCTTGCTCACAGCAGACTGACCACAAGTCTGGAAGATGAGGTGAACTTCAGAGTGCTATCCAAATGTTGTCAGGATACAGAGGTTGAAAAGGTTTACTCACCTTCTGGTCATACAGCTACTATATGACATAGCTAGGGCTAAAGTGCACACATATGGGAAGACCTCCTAAGAATTTGAGAGGATCATGTGAGAAACGAGTATGAAGGGTTACATAAAAATGCCTGAGTAAGTTGCTTCTGGACTGAATTAGGATTCGGTATCCCATCCACTGGTGGGATCTAGAACTGGGTACTCAACAGGATGGGCAGAAGGGTGTCAGTCAGTGATGCTGAAAAAGGAGACAAGTAAGACTCTCTCCTGTACCTTATAAGGAAATGTGTCAGAGCTCTGTAGTCTGAAATCTAGCCTCCCAGCCTGCTCAGGTCAGCACATCCAGCTTTAATGCAACTATAGAGTAATTTTTTTAATTCTACTGGCTAAACAAAACCTACAAAACCTTAACTCCTAACCCCTTGCATGAGCAAGACTCCACAAGAATGTTCCCATCCGACTCGGCTGTGAATGCTCTTGATTCAGATAAGCACCTACCTGTATGGCTCATAACTCCACGGTCAGATCACGGTAGCCTTCTAAACCAGAAGCCTCCCCAAACGATGCAGCTGCTAAAAGGCAACAGAAAACTGGCATTGCTTCCTCAACCCCTTTCAACACACTCTTCAAAGACACACACGCTAATCCAAGAACACAGGACAGTGACCAGGACTGGGGAACGACACAGCGTCCTGGAGGTCACTAGAAGCAACAGGGCAAGGAATGTGGAGGGAATACTCTGACGGCCTCACTCCCTGGGTGCGGGGGCTGGGATGCACATCTCAAGGGAGGTCTAAGGTTGAGACGATCCGTGGAAGACACTGCTGGTTGCATGTGACAGCAAGTCACTTCAGTACACAGCTTGCGTGAGAGGATGACACATGCTCTGCCCTGTTCTGGAGCCCAGTCGACTGGACTGCCAGGAGCGAACAGGCATAGAGGACAGGAGTTCAGGACGCTGAGCAGCTTAGACTCAGCAGGGTTGAAAAAGGGCTTGTCAACTTCACACACATTCAAGTAACATTTAATAATGCTCAAGAAACTGGTTTCAGGGTAAAGTCTCTATGTTGGTATACAGAAGTAAACAGGGACGGTAGGGAACCATAAAGTGAAGCCAAGTCCAAACCAGAGGAACAGGTGAGACATAAGAGTGAGTTCAGAGACCTCTCTCAAACCTCTGTCCACACCCTGGCAGCTGTTTCTGATATGGCTTGAGCTCAGGGCTGTGGCTTCTCACAGCAGACATAGAACTAGGTCTGGCTGGAGAAAGAAGAGCTGGTACCCTAGCACAGCTGCAGCTTCGGAAATGACATCTTGTGGTACCACACAGTTAGGAAGGAAGGAGTAGAGCTGGAGAAGAAATGCTTAGATGGACCTCCCCTCACAGTGAGCTCCCTTCTCTTCAGTCAGCTGGCAGATGAAGCGCCGTGGGATTGGGAACAATCCCTCAGAAGAGTTTTCAGGGGATGTTCTTGGCTGAGCATCAGAGGAAAACAGGTGAATTTTCCTGGCTATTTTCTGAGTAGAGGGAAAAGTGAGCAGACACATCTTCAGCTTTGGTTAAGTCTTCTCAGAACCCCATAATGGACCCAGGAAACACACCAAAAACACTTACAAAAGAACCAGACTGGGAGGCCAACTTTTGGGATAAAGACCAGAGATGACACAAGAACCACCATAGAGAACATTTCATGACTAAAAGAAAATAAGTGACTGTGACGTTATAAATAATATTCTTATGAACTACCCCAAACCTTAAGTCCATTAACAAAGTACACATCTACTAAATCAAATCCCAGATTACTACGTTATCAATTCTGGCAACACATGTACTCTGGGCTAGGCCCCAAATCTGTTCTCTTAAATATATGAAGTCTGAATTTTTAGCCAAAGAATGAGATCCCTTTTATTTGGGATATAAATTCAATAGCTAATATTAAAACATTCGGAAACTAAAATTATAGAGCAAGTCCCTTACTGCAGGAGAGCCCCCAGGGCAGCCAATCAGATTTCGGCAATAGACAAGGAGTTTAAAACAGCAACTGCTGGCCAGGTGTTGTGGCGCATGCCTGAAATCCTGGTGCATGGAGAGTAAAGCAGATTACTGCAGGCTTGAGGCCAGGCCCCTGAGCTACACACTGAGCTCTGGTCTCCAAAAGCCTAAAAGAAAGGAAACAAACACCCCACCAACTGACAAGGTCCAAATGTATGAAGTAGCAGAGAAAAGACAGGACAGAAAATTGTGTGCAGTGTACACTAATGCACCAGCAAATTGGCAGCAGGTACTTAGGAAGTTCTGAGTGCTTCAACTCAAGCTGAAGGACCACTTCCCACAGCTGGCCTTTAGCAAAGTCTCGGTACAAGCACTCTTTGCACACTATTTCAACATGTTGGGTACTTGAATAGTTTCCCAAGCTGCAAGGAAACAAACAAATGCCTCCAAGATGGAATATGGAGCCCATGACAGCAGAATGTAAACACCTAGCATATATGTCCAATTGGTCCTCTATCCAACACCTCACATCTTAGTAAAGGAGTCAGGTATATGATCTACTCCTCTACCCCAAGTGTCCAATCTCCAGGCCAAGAGTGTCCTATCTGACTTTTCTCTCTCTGCCTTTTAAAATTATGTGACAAACTTAAAATGCAGTTAATGGACATAAAGGCCCGGGCTCAGTGAGACACAGCACAGACAGCCTCCTGATGTCAAGGGGAGATAGAACTGTCCTAGACATAGAGGGGAAGAGGCACAAGTTCTGCGGGATCACTCACACTCAACAGTACATTAGTCATTAAACAAGGGCAAAGTGCAGGGGTTGGGAGAGGGCAGTGGAGTTGCAGTACTCTGTCATCAGGGCTGGGCAACACATACTCGTGGATGGGAAATTTTAAGTAGCTATGTTTATTATTTTTTTCCAGCAATCTTGCAAGAGGCAGAAGTGTGACACTGAACTGAGTCAGACGAGCATGTATGTGGGTCGGTGAGGAGCCCATCTCTTGACATGTGCCGCTGGCTTGTCAGGAGTGGCTGGTTCCATCGCTGAGTCATGTCTACTCTTTTGCTTGAAGGAAAAGGGTTTCTTGAGGGAACAAGTTTACCTCTAATAATGACTTATTGGGGTCTAGCTGCGTTACCTGAAAAGAAAGAAAACACACATTCAGAAATCTGGAATAAGCGCATTGATATTCAGTCTTCCACACATTGGCATGAGCAAGTGCACAGTATCTTGAGCTTAAAATACTTCTGTGTGATGGTGGTGTTGTTCTCTGAGGAAACCAGGGCTCACAGAAAGGTAATATTATATGGTTGCTTTTCTTTTTCTCTTTCTTTCTTTCTTTCTTTCTTTCTTTCTTTCTTTCTTTCTTTCTTTCTTTCTTTCTTTCTTTCTTTCTTTCTTTCTTTCTTTCTT